GATGGCTAAGATTGATTGTATTTATTACATTACAACATTTTTAAATGAGCTTTAATATTATTAGTATAACTGATGAAAAATAAAGTTTAGTTTCTTCTTCTTCTTCTTCTTCTTTTTTTTTTTGGTGCAAAAAAGGGGATTGAGCCCAGTGGCATTCTCTCTTTCCTAGAACAAAGTTTCTTGGATTATGTTACTTCTGTTCTTGTTAAGAGATTACAAAAGATTTTTCTGACCCTTTGAGCAGTCTGCCTAGAAAACTGCTTAGTCTCATTGTTTACAGTCTCCTAAATTCATATGTTGAAAACTAATCACCAATGTGATGATGTTAGAAGAGGGGCCATTGGGGAGGCTTTGGGGCCACAAAAGCAGAGTCTCTGAAATGGGATTAGTGCCTTATAAAAGAACCCCCAGGGAGCTGCTTTGCCCTTTCTACCACGTGAGGATGCAACCAGGAAGAACTGTCATAAAACAGGGAAAAGCTCTCACCAGACCCTGAATCTGCCTTGATCTTGCACTTCCCAACCTCCAAAACTGTGAGAAATCAGTGTTTACTGTTTATAACYGCCCCAATCCATGATATTTTGTGACAGCAGCTTAAGTAAACTAAGATGGAAACAAAGATTGCCTGTCATATTACAACAACTTCCTGTGAGGTTCAGCAGTAAAGCATTTGTCTAGCATGTGCAAGGCCCTGGGTTCCATCTCTAGCACCACAAAAACAAATAAATAAATGAGTAACTTCCTGTGTTTTTTGTTGTGGTTAGCACATCCTGGATTACTCTAGAAAAAAAGTCTTCTCAATGTTAAAAGAACGAATGTTTTTGTTTTGTTTTGTTTTGTTTTTGTAGTGCTGGGGATCCAAACCAGGACCTCATTCCTGCTAAGCAAGTGCTCTACCACTGAGCTACATCACAACCCTTGTTTTTCTTTTGTTTTTGTTTTGTTTTGTTTTTTTGTTTTTTTATGACCATGTTGCTTCCTATATTTACTTTCAAAATCTCTCATTGCCATTTTAGTTAAATGAACAACTAAGAATTTTTTCACAGTGATCTGTGATTTTTGATTAATCCAGTGTTTGAAACTTTTGACATTTTTTTWAMMMTTTTTTTTATTTTGCCTTTCCAAAATCAAATTCTAAATAAAACAACAGTCTCAGTCTGACTTCAAGATTTCCCCAGTAAGCCCTTGAAAATCTCCAAAGATTTGTTCTCACTTTGCCAAACATAGCTAAACTAATTAGGTTTGTCTGACTTGTTGAATTGCATGGAAAGCACTGTCAAATGAGAAGAGGAGCTTAACCTTTCTTAGGTTTTCTTCGTGTAGGTAAATGATACTAATCTAAGTATTTTAGGAATTATAAGAAATTCCTAGAACTCCCTCAGTGTCCACACTGCCCTAAGTCCTTAAGCTTTTTTTATCGGATATGAGACAACAATGACAAAATGTTATCAGTTGTAATTTCAGTAATCTGAAARTTGTATGCTACAGAAACAACAAAATTTCCTTGTCAGCCACATCATAATAAACATTGGATCATTACAGCCATTCTAATTCTAAGCCTTTTGTCACTCAGATAGCATCATTTAATTATGATGCTTTCCTGATATCTCCTGTGATCACCACCTAGCCAGGATGCTTTATCCTCAACAAAAGACTGAAGCTCATGGAAAGGACTGTGGCAGGTGTGCTTGGGGACAGGCTTCTTATGGCAGCGATTCAGTAACTTTGAGCTCAGACCACTGGACTGAGGACGGATTGCTAAAACCCTTGTGGAGAAGGTGGTGGCTCGTCAAACTGCTAACTCAGAGCAGATTAAAGAGACCAAATGAAATGAACTGCTGAAAATTATTTTACTCTTCATGGTTTTCTAATGTTCTATTTTCTGGATTTATAAGGAACCCTCTTCTCTTTTCTTCTAAGCTATCACCTACTCACAAAGATGTGGCAGATTATACCTTCACAAACAAAACTGAAACATTTACCTTTTTCTCCCTAGCAAACTCCTCCAGGATTTGGAAACTCCTATTGAATATTCTTATTTTCATAGCAATATGATATTTGCATAAGTTCATTAAGAACCTGTCCTACTTGTAACAGTTCATAATTGAAAAAATTGGTTGTATTACCAAAGCTTGTGTAATGTCGTCTTTGAAAATGTGCATAGAACAAAATATTCATATTTTAAGGAACTATGATTGACTTTACAAAGCCAGCACTTACAAAGCCCTTTTTGAAAAAACCAGCCTGGTATCTGGCTTACAGCAGCCTCAGCCTTACAAGTGATTAAGGAATTCCTAGCAAGGCCAAGGTCCTAGAATACTTAGGGAACCTTAGGAAGAAAGGAATCCAGATCTATAGGTATCATGGAAGAAGTCTGATGATGAGTTCTTGCCTGGGTTTCTGGCACTGAGAGTCTTCTGAAGGTCCAACCTGAGATTTCTTATAAAAGTTCTGTCAGAGCAAATTTTAAAAAGCCTATATAGTCAATCATCATTCTTGCTGTATTTATGTTTATCATCAGACCAGATTTAATGGGACTAGATTTATTTGATGATTTTAGAAAGAAGTTTTATGTTTCAATGAAAAAGTATAACCCATCCCAGATTCTAGTCCTGTTAATTATCTTTGAGCTATTTTTCATCCCTTTGTAAACTGGCTTTTGCCATCTTGGCCATATTATCAATGATTAATATTTCTATTTTTTTTCTCCTGATGTGTCAACAACTGAAAATTAAAACCTAACTGCCCAGACTCTTATTAAGGCTTTTCATTGTCTTGTCCCCAAACCTCACATATTGAGGCTGGATGGCTTGATATAAATTTCAAAGGGCTTACTACAATAATTTCTGCCATTCGAGAAGTTCGTCAAATCCTCATGATCGTTCATGTTCTGCTCTGGGAAATAATGTAATTGTGACACTAATGTTCTCACCCCTTTCATCAAGATGCTTCCAGTCCAATATCTAAAATGTTCTCAACTACTGTTCTCTGGACTCAGAAACTAGGTTTATAATTTACTACAATCATTAATCTTTGTTTTGCTTTTTTGTTCCTCATGCTAATCTATGCTTTTTCCYGTGTGCAGATCTCTTACCTCACATTTCCTAACTAGAAGCTTCTCTCCACAGCAATCTACCTAGCTTCTTTTGTAAGTGTGAAAATTCAAGGGAAGTTTCAGAGGAAGAAAGGTGAGGATCCACTCAAACGCCCAGAATTGGCATCAAGACTATTTTAAAGTGAAAACATTTGAGCTAAAGAAGGAACACAAAGAAACCTTATCTGAATTTCTAATATTGAACTAAAACAGAGTCCAGAAAATAAACCTCCCTCCCAAGGGAGTTTCCTATGAATTCAGCTGCCATGCAGACAGGCCACTTCCTGCCCATATGCAATAGTGTCAAAAAAATAAAAAATAAAAAAACTTCCAAAACATCTCAGCAACTCCTAAAAAAAAAAAAAACCCTTTGTTCGGTTTGACATATAAATCTTTTATTTCTGTCTATTCGGGGAGTAATTCATCATTGAGTACTCCCACATGTACTCATAAACAAACCGTGTCTTCTCTACTGTTACTCTATTATCAGTTAACTTTCAGACCACCAAAAACTGGACCCAATTAAGAAAAGTTTTCCTATTAACATAATAATTTCTTCTCATATTCCTGGGTTGGATTACACTAATTCTTCACCACTTTAAGAGAAATAATGATAGAAAACATATTAACACAGGCAAAGAATTCCAGTAAATGGGAAATTTCCATTATGTAAAAATGCAAGTTTATAATTGAGTCAGTAGGTGGCACCAAAGAAAAAAGAAGTATATCTTGATAAATGCACACATCACTGAGTCCTGGAAATCAAATAAAAGCTACTCTTCAGATGGTCTGTGTTCTGTTTTATCCTTAAGTGTCCTATTTCAATGCAGTTTTAAATTGAAAATTGCCTAAAGGTCTTTTTGAAAGGAAACAAAAAAATTACAAATAAAACTTAAAAACTACTTAGAGGCTGGGGCTGTAGCTCAATAGTAGAGCACTTGCCTCGCATGTCTGAGGCACTGGGTTCAATTCTCAGCATCACCTWTAAATAAAATGAATAAAATAAAGGTACATCAACATCTAAAAAATATATTTAAAAAATACTTGGAAAAAATTTCATGTATTCCTGCCAAAAACTGATTTGGGGCATCTATTTTTTTCTGGGTTACACACAAATTATATCATATTGAAAATATATGAGGTGTTCCCAGCTGACATCTGCAACCTGTGATCCACTGAGAGAAGCAAAAGGTACTCACAGAGAAATCTGCCCCCTAAACTGGGAAAATAGAAGTGTTCTGGCAGTCTCTGAGCAGTTTTGGAATTTCAAATGGCAGTGTAGGAACTGTACCACCATCTTTAGAACCACAGAAAGTCCTTCTTCTTCAACAATAGCCTTTCCACAGACTAAGCCAGGAAAGGACTAAGCCCCAGCAACCCCACAGAAAAAGCTGTGAATGCTGTTGGTTGTTTTTTGGTACCAGGGATTGAACCCAGATGCCCTTTACCACTGAGCCACATGCCCAGACTTTTCTGTATTTTATTTAGAGACAGGGTCTTGCTGAGTTGCTTAGGGCCTCGTTAAATTGCTGAGGCTGGCTTTGAATTCTCGATCCTCCTGCCTCAGCCTCCCAAGCCACTGGGATTACAGGCATGTGCCACCACTCCAGGCTGGTTGTTTATTAAAAGATATATTCAGCAATGTCAAGAGAGAATGCTTTCTTAAATTCTGAAAGATACCTCAAAAATCCATTTTGCCATTCATTCTTCCATATCCCAAACCAACATCAAAGCAGCACATCACAGAAGATGCACTTATTAAACTTCTTTGGCTATTGGTCAGAATTAAAAAGATGAAAGAGAGATGCTACTCCTCTGTCCACAATGACAACACTCTGACAGTCAAGGTGGTACTTCTCCCCGAGCCCTCCTCCTAACAAGGTTCAAGCTATTGGCCTCCACTTACCCTGGCAAATTCCATGGGTTTAGGAAGAAGGCACATGACCATGACATCAAAGCGAACATCACATACTGTCTTCAACCACTTGGTGACAAACTGTGGCTTCAGTTTTTCTACCAAGCTTCCAACTTCATCATCCATCATGTATGCTGTGGAGTGAAACCACTGAAATACCATGGCCACCAGCCGGGCCAAACTTTCTGTAGGCGTGTTCTCACTGGGTGTGCACAGGCTCACCTGGGGCAGAAAGAGTAGACACTTTTTCAGTCTCCGTCCTTCATTACAAAATTACTGCATGTACATTTATAGGAAAAAAAAAAAACAATGTTCCAGAAAATCTATTTGAAACAGGCAGTTTTATAAATGATGATCATTTATCCAGAAATTATGTTCCTCTCTACAGGGACAGATGGAGTGCAACAATAATGTCCCCTCAAGATTCTGCCTCCCAATAGCATTTTTTTCCTACAAGAAATCTATTACATAACCTAGCTAGATAATGCTTCCTAAAATTAAGTCCATGAAGTGATATTTCATGAATATCTTCAAAGAAAAATAATATACATACATTTCATTTCTAACATGATCAGATTTAGGTAAGAATTTTGTAGAAGTAATAATTCTAATACTTTGAGGCCCCTACTTTATTACCATAGTATAAGTAGATTTTTTAAAAAATCATTTATTCATTCATTTGGAGATAATCTTTTATTCAGTATTGTAGCAGGGTACAAGAATACAAAAAGTAAAGAAAGCACTGTCCGTGCCCTCAGAGTTCCCAGCAATAGTAGCCATGGTATTATTAGATAACAAGTTCTTGGAAGCAAGACATGCAAAATCAACAATTAAATCCCAATTTGGTAAAGACTTTTTCAGGAAACTGTGTGCAAGCATAAAAGAAACACATCACTATGGAGACTTAATCCATGTYTGTAGCCAGCAAAATAAAYGAATAAATAAAAGCCTGCTTCTCTGCACAATCAGTGCATTTGGCTGGCTTCAGGTTTTASATCTATATGGTTAATCTCCACTGAATAAGAGTTGCAATGGAATCAGTCAGTTGCTATCACTGATTCCTTGTGTAAGTTTGGCTGTGATTTCTGTAGTGTACAAGAACCTGACTTAAATATACATAAARCTCCATAGAAACGGCTTTCAAGAAAAATTTCATGTACATGAAAGAAAGGATGTAAGTTATCTGTAAATTATGTTGAACCCAGTACTTTACAATCCATACTAGCAAGTTTCCCATTTGCTCCTTGTCAAGAAAGTGCATTTCAACCAAGCAAGTATGTGACATTGTAGGTTTCAATGCCTGAGTGTTTATTAAAGTCAACCAGGGAGCTTTTTAAAACATTTCCAGAACTATAGGTAAGATCTAGACACTGTTAGTTTTTAAACATTTTCTTAGGTAAATCTAATGGGCAACCCAGAGCTGACAGCCACTGCACCTCAAAGTATACAGACCTAAAATTAATTTATAAGCACTAAGATAATTTTTCAATATTTAGTATTTACTCCTTTCAAAAGAACAGGAGAAATCCCTCATCAGTGCAATAAAAAAACAAGAAAGCAGAGAATAGTTAACTTCTTTTTCTTACTAAGAACCATATTCCAAATTGACTAAGCAGCCTCTGGTCGTGTTTATCATCGTCCTTGTTATCAAAGTCAGCATTATCCAGGGAATGGTGGGAAGAGGAGAGGCCCAGCTGCCGCCGGCGATTCAACTCATGTTCCCGCTGCTCAGCATGGAACTCGGCTTCTTTCAATAAGCTGACAAAATGGGGTGATTTCAAATTAGATTATGGAAAAACACACTGCAAATCATAACCTATCCAGAGCAACTAATTCAAGCATCACAGATCACCTCCTTTAAATTGGTGTGAATTACATCAAGAAGCCTAATTTCATTTTTTTACTATTTTGTACTCTATTCCCATTTYAAAGATGAACAAASAAACTGAGGCACAACCAKGCTACTGCCTCCCATCAATTATAAAAAAGCAGAACTGATGTCTCTAATTTCTGGTTCACCAACCATCCTACTGTGAGTCCATTCTTCTTCATGTCTACCATGAAGGCATATAGATAGGAAATGTATGATTCAAGGAGAAACTGAGCACATGTATCCAAATGGAAAAATATTCAATATTTGGTATTCAAAGACCTGAAAGTAATAAATGAAGACTCCTTTTCAATTTGCTAAACAAATAACAACTTTAATAATGTTGATAAGGGTTTAGCAAAAACTAATAACTTCATATACACTGTTGGCATTGTAAATTCATATACATGCTTTGGCAAGCAATTTACTAAATTATCAAGAACAATTAAAATATTCAGACCCTTTGATCAGTTAACCCACATCTGGTAATCTACCCTAAGAAAGTAAAAAGCACAGGAAGAACATTATGCACAAACATATTAAAGAGTTCTTTTTAAAATTTGAAAAACTGGACGCAATCTAAATATCTAATGGTGGAAGTAAATAAGTTATAACTAGATGAATATGATATATTCACTAAAAAGTGATAAAATATGGAACTTCACAACACTGAAAGAGCTAATTATATAATGTTGTATCAAAGAGAGCAGCAGATTCACTGTGATTAGAGTTATATAAATAAAACTTGAATTCGAATGAAACTAGATGATGTGCAAAACTAACCATGATGACAGTATGGCTGTTTGGTTTTGTTTGTTTTGTTTTCTGTTTCCAAACTTGCCATGATGCTTGATTTAACAAACATTTCTTCTACTCTGTGTCAACCGCTGGGATAAGAGAAATAGAAAAGACCCTCTCTGTCCTTAAAACTTACATTCTAACAGTGCTGTTTTTGTTTTGTTTTTAATCTTGCTTCCTTGAATATTACGTATATTTTTAAAAGAATAAGAAGAACAAGTATAGAGATTATCATTTCAAATGCTGATTTCTCCTTCATCTAATAGAAGGAGAAAACCCCTGTAGCCTTCAGATCGGGCCCTGTCTCAAATGGGCCCTCTGTGCTGACCCTACATACTTTCTTAGCAATTTTTCTGCAGCCTTGTCTGGCTTAAGTCGACAGGATATATTACATTCCTCAGCAAGCTACCTATTATCTGTGGGAGAAATGTAGACCCAAAATACCATGGTAAGAACACAAGTTACCCTGAAGTGGGGCACTTTTGTGACTCTTTTATAAACAAAATTCTGGAGCTCAGGGAGATAAGGATAGTTCCTCCTAATTATAAAATCTATAAGAATAGGTTCCAATTAGAAAGAACTGAGCACGTTCTGACTGGCTTCCTGATAACACCCTAATAACACCGTGGTCAGCGTGGGCCAAAGTGACCTAGAGTTGTCATGGCAGTGAGAGCTTGAAAGTCTGATGTTGTCTTGCTGTCAGTCAAGAGTTAAGAGGTCGACCTGGGGAAGACTCTCTGGAAACTTCCCCTGGGACCTCAATAAAACTGGAGAATAGGAGCAGTACACTGTCCCTGTCCTCTTTGAGAGGACCCAATTCCTGGGCCTCAAGCTTGACCCCAGTACCACAGAACTTGGAGTCCTTCCCCGCCTTCTTGCTCACAAGCAAAAGATTTGTTCCTGTGGCTTTGCTGCCCTCCTTACTGGCTAATGCTGCTGTCACTCAAGGCAGGCATCCCTATCCCCACCCCTCACTCTGATGAGGTCTCCAGTTACCTTACCCCTGGCTCAGGGCTGTCATTGCTCATTAGAGTGGTTCACAATTACAAACTTGTAAGTTCTTCTAGTCCCTGCCTGAGTAATTAGAAGACACTTCTGTCTCCCAAGTGCCTAGTGCAATGCCTGGTCTGTACCTGGCATTGGACAAAAATATTTATTGAATTCACAATTGAAAGCATCATCGTGGCCACTCTGCAGGAAGGTGAGCTGCTAGACTGCGGGCATCCGAACTTGGGTTGGATGTAAGCTTCTTGGTGCACCAAGGTCAGTGCGGACGCAGGGCGTCTTCAGAGACACCTCTGGCTAGCTGCGTTACCTAATCACCGCCTCCACCGCGCAGACCAGCTCCTCGGCACCGCACTCCCGCGTGTTGATCGGGGGCGGCGAGGTCTGATAGAGGTGGGTCTCCGCCGCGGCCCCCACCTCATTACTGTGATGATTCGAGTGGCATCTTTTGCAGTACCGAACAGGCCTGTTTCCGTGACGACCGCAGCACCCTGCGGAAAAGCAGGTGACGACTGCTCTTCTAACATGGGAACTGCAGTTCTAGAAGCAAAAGTGATGAAATCAGTTAAAAACTGATCCCTTAGGTAAACTTGGCTAAGAACTAAAATAATGGGAAACTTAAGGGACCACCGGAAGTTAACAGCTCATTTCAAAGTACTGCTGGTTTCCAAAATGCAGGTTATTCTCTAATCAGTTAGATTCCAGTCGTAGTCAAAAACAAAGGTGAAAGGTGTCTTCTAGTGAGAGGGTAAGAAACATTCCAGAGATCAGTAGAACTGTACTGAAAAGCCAGGGGGTGAGGACACTTTCAGGATTATTTGGAGTTAATGATTCAAGAGTTTTCAACAGAAATATAAAGAAAAATTAGAACTGTGGTTTAGAGAGAGCACATCAGAATAGGAAAGGAAGAATTTAACTCCCGGAATAAACTCTTTCAAAATTATTTTATCCACCACTGGAAGAGCAGATTTCCACAGCAGCTAGTCTGTCCTTGTTGCATTCAAGGACAGGAAGGTGCCATGCTGTGCTGAGTTGATGGCCCCAAAGCAAGCCTCTCACTCTCACCAACACACTCTGAAGACCTGAAGAACCCGTCAGTGGACACCACAGGACATGCCAAAACACAGCCAGAACCGTTCACAGAATCAGCTGCTGAAATCAACCACAGGAAGCATCAACAGATAAAGTGATGGTGGGCGGGGGGAGTCGGGTGGTGCAGCATAATAGATTCCTAAGCTCAGGGGGCTGTTGTCAGAGCTGCCCTGACAGGAGGCCAGAAGTTAGGCAGCATCCAAGGAAAGCAATCTGAGGACCAGGCAGGACACTCTGACATCAAAAACAAATGGTCAAAAAACCACATGCCTTGAGCCTGTTATGATGCTTCCACCACATGTTCAATGTCAGAGCTCTTCAGCCTTTCAATGGTGCTTGTAAAGATGTGAACACTTCTGGGGCATGTCATCTTTAAGAACTCAGAGGTTGGCAAAGCTCTGAGAATGCTCCAGGATAGATATCCCCATGGGAGATGGAAAGAAGAAAGCAAGCCCAAAACCTACATAGAACTGTCGACACTAATGAATCGTCATGGGAACCACCATCTCAAAGCAAAGTTTGTTACACTTTGATCATAAGGCTGCTGACTCTGGATCTAGTGCTAGAAACTCAGTTCCGAATAGGACTCAGACCAATACATCATCAGCCCCTGTATTTTACAAAACATCAATCTCTTCATCGGGTAGCTACATCTTTATTGTCTTAAGAGTTTAAAATATTTCTAGTGTATTTTCTTTTTACTAATAATTCTGGGGGGAAAAAACATTTGTTGTGACTCCTAAAAAAAATCATTTGTTGTGACTCCTTATCTTCTTTGGCATCCAAATCAGCCTGACTTTTCCAGAATGGGTTGTTTTTCCTGAGATCAACATCTCTTTCACCCTCACAGTTTCCCTTTGGAAGTACATGAATTATTGGTTTGGGGCTCCTTCTGTTCACCCACCAAACATACCACTCTACCAGCTGAGCCACATGTATCAGGATGTATTCTGGTGTTGATTTTTTTCCTCTCAGTTAAGTTTATTGCACAACCCTCCCCCTAAAATATAGGGAGGATTTCCTATACTGAAATCTTAAAAGAGGTCCAGGAGAGCAAGTTAATTCCCACTTCACGAGAGGAGGCAGCAAGAGGTACCACGTATGAGAAACAGGCCCTCACCAGACATTAAATCTGCTGAGGCTTGTTTGTAAGCACCCAGTCTATGGTATTGTGTTGTGGCAGCCCAGAGAGACCAAGACAGTGATAATTAGTCTTTGGTCCTACAGGAGTTCCACTGTTACATAAACAAGAGGATGTGGACATAAGTTAGTTGGCAGTTATTGGCTATATATAATATAGCCCTGAGTTAAGGTCTACTAGTTCCCATCCTATTTTCTACTGCCCAAATGCCATCCAAATCCTAATATCATTTCCAAATTTTCTGACTTTTTGCTATAGATTTCTTGATTCACTATGTACAAGAAAGGGAACTTTTCTTATTATAATTATCTATGATCAGTGTGACATTTTGCTATGGCTTATGTAGAATGGAAAATTCAGATATTCAAAGAAAGGGAAATGTCCACAACCCTTCCAAAAGATTGAGTTATATAAATAAAGATGACATCAGAAAGAAATCCAGTAGGTTCATAGCTGTATTATGGATACAACAAGAAAATATGAGATGTCCATTATATACCTAGCATAACATTTATTCCTCAAATAAATGCTTACTTGTGGCCATTACTGYTGACCAATTGCCCATTTGCTTTTTTATTTTGTCCTACTGTTTGTGTTCACCCATATTCAAACAGCAGACAGTGACTCCTTATGTCATGCCTTATTCTAGTCCCTGTTATCTAGAGGCCCTTCCAACTTTTTTTAACCAATAGATAGAGTCTATTTCCCCTCCTCCTGAATCTGAGATGGCCTTGGGACTATCTTTTAACCACTGGAATATATCAGATGTGATAGTGTGTGACTTCAAGCTTCTGTGTCAAGAGGTCTTGTACCCACCACTCTTGCTCTCTTGGGACACTGCTGCCTTGTAGGAACTATCAAGGCTAGCCTCCTGGGGATGAGATGCCTCAAGAAGAGAGGGTGTTCCAGCCCTTCCAGCCATCCCAGCTGATGCCCCAGACATGAGGGTAAGGATATCTGGGGCCATTCAACCCCCGACCTGCCCACTGAATGACAATGCTTGCGTGTATGAGTCTGGACAAGACCAGAAGAATTGCCCAGTTAATCCAGGTCAAATTTCCAGTCTACAGAATTGTGAACACAAATAATTAGCTATTATAACAAGATGATATGTTTTGTTATGCCATAATAGAAAATGTCTCCAGAAGTAAGGTGCAGCCATAGCATAAGTTAAAAATATGTAGCATTGGTGTTGGAACCAGGCAGYGGTAGAATCTAGAAAAGCAGTCAAACACGAAATGATGCAAACTGGAAGAGGTTTAAAAAGGCAGTAAGGAAAATGGTCTTTGGAAGCTAGAAAAAGGAAACCTGTATTTTATAGCATGTATACACCACTGTAGAGCAAGCCACTCTGAGACTCAGAGGTATAAGTCTCACCATCCTCTCCATTAAATAGTAGGGATTCTAAGAACCTTAAAGGCATGATTCCCAGCTGCCTCACAGACTCAACAATATAAAAGAATTTATCTCAGACTGGTTTGGGCATTTAACTTGTGCCTACTGAAGTAGGTTTATAAACTGCTACATTAAAGGCCACAATGTTTTTAATGGAATTATATCAATGTGGACTGAAAGAAATACATACTGAGAGCCTCAAAAGAAGATGCTTTTGAAATTCCACATTTTTGTGATGAAAAAGTAAACTAATATGACTACTTAATTGTAAAACAGGCTACTTTTTATAGAAAAAAAGATGGGTATCTCCCAGAYGGTGGCGCCAACAGCCAAGAAATCAACTCCCAGGAATTTAGGGAATAACAAACAGACGCCCTGTGCTTGGCTGAATCTCAGTATGACTCTCATTCCCTCATTCTGCAGAAGAGTGCTTCTACAGGAGTGATGTGGAAATGATGAGAGGAATGTCCGGCAGGGTAATATACTAGACACTCCTCCCATCAATAAGTGGAGTTTATTTCCATTCCTTGAATCTGGATGGGGTTGCAACTGCTTTTTTTTTTTTAATATTTATTTTAGTTTTCGGCGGACACAACATATTCATTGATATGTGGTGCTGAGGATCGAACCCAGGCCACAYGCATGCCAGGCGAGCACGTTACCGCTTGAGCCACATCCCCAGTCCCATTGCAACTGCTTTAATCAACAAAATACTGCAGGCTGGGAATGGCAGTACATTCCTGTAGTCCTAGCTACTCAGGAGGCTGAAGCAGGAGAATCATTCAAGGCCTGCCTGGGAAACCTAGCAAGACCCTGACTCAACAATTTTTTTTCTTAAAAGCTAGAGATGTAGCACAAAGGTAAAGCACTTGCCTAACATGTTTGAGTCCAAGAGTTCAATCCCCAGGAATGGGAGGAAAAAAAAAAAAAAACAGCATGGCAGAAGTGATGCTTATATGACTCTCAATGCCAAAGACATGTGGTTTGCATCTGGCTATCTTGAAACATTCTCTCTTTAGAAGCCTCCTCATCAGGATATTCCTCCTGGAACTCTGGCCAAACCACATGGAGAGGCTCCATGTTTAGGTCTCTGGTCAACAGAACCCACTAACCATGTCTTCTAGTCATTTCATCCCATAGCCCAAACATGACCTGGAAGCCTCTAGATAATTCCAGTTCCAGGTACTTAAGTCTTCCCAGATGAGGCCCCAAACATTCAGAGACAGGTTATCTCCACTATGCCCTCTCCAAGACTCTGACCCACAAAATCTGTGAACATAATTCAGGGCTTGTTTTATGCTGCCACATTTTGAGTAATTTCTTATGCAGTGCCTGCATATAAAAAATAAATGCATATTTATTTATGTATATAAAATATTTATACATATATATAAAAAATAACTAAAAGTTACTCTATCATAGTGCAACATCAAGTCTAAACAGTATCAGCAACAAAATATTTCTTCCAAAAATAATTTTTATTTTTTATTAGAGCATTATAGTTATACATAATAATTGTCTTCATTTTGACAAAAGCATATATGTGTGGAATTTGATTTACCCCATTTCAGTCCCATTCTCCCACCCCCTTTGTTCCCTCCTCTMTTCCCTACCCATATTCTCCTTCCTCTATTCTAGGATCATCTTTTCCCTCATTTATTTATTTAATTTTGATTTATGCTCTCTACATACACATAAAGGTGGAATTCACTGTGGCATATCAATTTATGCACCTGGTCATATATACTGGCTCTCCTCCCTCCTTCTTCTTCTACTCCACTGATCTTCCCTATATTTTTAAGATAGTCAATCCAYCTTTTTCCCCCTAATTTTGCCCTAGTCTGCATATGAGAGGAAACATTCAACCCTTGATTTTCTGAGTCTGGTCTTGTTTCACTTAGCATGATGTTCT